TGGGGGCAGATTCAGCTCCCCCACCTCTCTGGCCAGCCTGCGCTTTCCTCACCACAGGAGATGTTCCAGTTTTGCCAGAGTCAATGGTTTTGTCTCCACCAAGGCTGGAAGGAAATGCGTCCCGGGGGGGGCACACTGGGTTTTCGGCAGCTTCGGCGAAAGGAACCGGGCTCTTTCCCGGGGCGCGGCTTGAGAAAGACAAATGGAGGCAAACTGGTTTTAACGAGCACTTGTGGTTTCTTGCGTTCTCCCTTTCCCGTGCGGCTCCCACGTCTTGGGGAAAAAATCCCTCTTGACGCGGAATAGAGTTTTAGAGGAAATTCAGCCTAGCTTTTTACCACGTAGGTTGCCTCCGTTTAGCTACCATGAATCTCTGGGGGGTTGAGGAAGGAGCTTCATGGAACGGCTTAGCCAGACAACGGGGGGGTATGTTTGGGACAAACAGGCGGTTGTTTTGGTCAGCCGCTTGGGTTCTGTGAAAAGCGACTGAACCGCCCCTTCCTTGATCCCGCTCACCCACCCACCCTAACCACTTCCTACCTGCCAGGGCCGACTCCCTCTCATTCCCCTCCACCGCACTGCCCCCTTTCATTGGGAAGAAGCCTCCCAGATTCTGGAGTGCCGTTTTAAGCCAGCATGCAGTGGGCAGAGAGGCGGGACGCAAATGCCCGTCGCACGCCACGGTATCCACCTGACACCGGCCAAAAGCTTCAAGAGGGACGATCAGAAGGATAGATTCTGTTACCCTGAAGTGCGGAGTCCAGCGGGATCGGTTAGACCGAGAACAGCAGCCAGAAGCGTTCTCCAGAGGCTAGTTTTTCCGGACACAGAGGCGGTGGCTGCCCAGCATCCTCTTAGAATTTCCCGCATACACCGATTTCTCATTTTATTCTGCATGGCGATTTAGGGTATGTCTCCCTGTCCATTTTTCCCCAGCCCCAGTGCCTTCTTGCCATGGGGTCGGCGGTGGAGGTGAGGAAGAAAAGTTTTGCTTTTTTTAGATGTGTTTTTGGGATTGATTTCTTTTGCCTCTCCAAAGCACGACTCAGTACCTGGAGATAAAAGGCTTCGAGAAAGAGTCCACTCTCTTTCCAAGGATCTGTTCATGTGGCTTTCTGTAGATTTGAGTCGGACCCATAGGGTTGCTTTGCAGCCGGATCCAAAATTACGTGCTCGGGTGCCTTTATAGACTCACCCAATCTAGCAATACAGAATGGGCAGCGGGGGGTGGGGGGTGGACTGGCCTTCTGGGTGTCGTTCCACAAGGACTCCCATGACACACACACCCCCGAGGTTGGCCTTCAGAGGATGATGGGAGCTGGCATCCGGCCGACGGCCAGCGGGGCCTTAGGTTGGTGCTAACCAAAACTGAGCTCAGCACTGAAAACAAACAGAAGGCATCAAGGGTGTCTGGGGAGGTTTTTGGTCATGTGAACAGAAAAAGTAATTGGTGGTCAAGGAAAATCACAGAAAAACATCTGCAAAATTGTGTGTGTGGTTTTTTTTAAAAAAGAGGTACGTATTTATTTTTGCGGGCCTGTAGACGCTTTGGCTGCCATGTTTGAAATTCAGACGGCGACAGAAGCTGCAAAGAGGCAGATCTTAGCAAGGCGGTTTTGGGGCAGGTGAGCGGAGAGCAGGCTGCAGGCTAGCATTCAACAGGTGAGGTTTCCGGGCCGTGACTGTAACAGTCAATTCATGTGCAATAGCGTGTCAAGACACTTGTGCGCACTCTCTCTTACATACGTACTCTGTTCTCCCGCGGGCGACAGAGGCTGCTCATTCATTATCCTCCCTTCAGCCTTCAGGGTCGGATTTTTAGTTTTTCATT